CTCGGCGGCTCGCGCGGGCCTACGGGCAGCAAAGGAGGACTCGCGGCTGGCGCGCGGCATGCGTGCGACTGCCACAGCTGCGGGGCGCACGGCGGCCACAGCTGCGGGGCGCACGACTGCCACTCTGCGCGCCCACAAGAAGAGAGCTTCTTATGAGCCCAGTTGGCCTCTGAGAGGCCAGCTGGGCTCACAAGAACTCCCTCTGGCCTGCTGGCCGCAGCCCCTCCCTTCTCCTCCCTCTTCTTCTTCCCTCTCCCTGTTCCTCCCCTTCCTCCTCCTCTTCCTCCTGGCGCCTCCTTGGTGGGGTCCGAGCGGATGGGGTCGGAACATCGCGCCGCGTTACCGATGAATCGGCGACGTCGGCGATGCATCGGAACCGTCGGCGTGGAAAATCGGGCTCCACATCGAGACGCAACGGCGATGCATTGGCGAGACGGCGCAATCCTCAGACCCCATCTACTCGTCATTGCACCGGCCTTGCAGACGTGCTGCAGCGGACTTCTGCGTGGATTTCTGCGTGGATGTTTGCCCGAAGCGGGCGGCGAGCAAAAAAAACGATGTGATTGTTTGGTCTGCATCCCTAGCCCAAAAAAATCCGCAAGAAATTAACCTCGAAATCCGGAGCGAATTCTCCAGGACACCCTGGGCCCACCCTGTCGTTTTCCGAACGACATCCGCTTTGCGATGTTGGCGCCATGATGCTCGGACCTCACCTGGGAGGCCCAAGAGTGTGCCCTCAGGATTTCCGAACGGGCCCCCACTTGGAGGCCTGGAAATGGGCACCAACACCAACACAGGGGGATTGCCTCCACCGGGGGAAGATGATCCTAGATTTCGGTGTTGGTGGTCATATTTCGGTCACCCTGGACGCCGGAATATCACCCCCATCACCGAGATCGGGATCTTCTTCCCTCGGTGGAGGCACACCGCCGATATTGGTGTTGGTGTCAACCTCTAGGCCCGCGACAATCCCCGACGTTGCTGGGTTCTCGAATGGACCAACAACCCGAAGCTAAATTCGGGGAGATACGACGGGAGGGCGTCCGTCCTCGACAAGTGGTGCGTCCGAGCAACCTCCTGGAGGTGCGTCCCCGAGTTTTCTCTGTTTTCCGAGCGGCCTACACATGGTTCATCTCCAATTCCTCGAAGGCTCTCTGATTTTTGGTGGGCCAAAATCCTCTCATTTCTGAGTGTTCTATCCTGCGGCCCCACGCCTCTACCTCTGGTGGGCCTGCGACCCGCGACCTCAAGTCGGGCCGGGCAAAAGGGGGGGATAGCAAAGGAGGGTTTGAGAATCAGCTCACGTAGCTGATTTTACCGGCGCCTCCCGGCGCCGGGAGGCGCCCATGTATCGAGGAATGGGCCCGGCGGCGGGGCCGAAACCAGCTGCATGCAGCAGATTTCGTAACCCCCCCTTTCCCAAACCCCCCCTTTCGCCCGACCCGATCAAGGACGCCTCCCCGCAGCCCCCGGCTCTGGGCCTGGGAGGCGAGACGGGCCGAGCGCACGGGGAGGCCGCGCGCGCTCCGGCCGGGGAGCCCCCGCGCGCGGCGGGGGGGGCCGCCGCCTCTGAGGGGCCCGTTTTCCACCACCACCACCACCATCACTTGGAGGGGAGGAGGAGGAGGAGGAGGAGGAGGAGGAGAGGAGGAGGAGGAGGAGGAGGAGGAGGAGGAGGAGGAGGAGGAGGAGGAGGAGGAGAGAGGAGGAGGGGAGGAGGAGGAGGAGGAGGAGGAGGAGGAGGAGGAGGAGGAGAGGAGGAGGAGGAGGAGGAGGGGAGGAGGGAGAGAGGAGGAGGGAGGAGGAGGGAGGAGGAGGGAGGAGGAGGAGGAGAAGGAGGAGGAGGGAGGGAGGGAGGGAGGAGGAGGAGGAGGGAGGAGGAGGAGGAGGGAGGAGGGAGGAAGAGGAGGAAGAGGAGGAGGAGGAGGAAGAGGAGGAGGAGGAGGAGGAGGAGGAGGTTGTTGTGGAGCGGGCTAAACCCAGGTTGCAATTTAAAATAAGACGCCCTCTGAATCGGAGGCCTCGTCGTCCTCCCACTCATCGGGGGCTCGACGCTCAGCTTCCCCCAAGGGTCTCACCTGTGGAAGCTCGCTCTCCAGCAGGCCGAAAGCTCGAAGGACGTCTGACTTCGACGCAAACCCTCGGGCAAGAGCAGGGCCAACAGAAGGTGCCGACGTAGCCCTCAGAGCTGTCGGCCCCCCCCCCGGACAGCCAGCAAATCACGCTCTGGCTGCCCAAGCCCCCGCAGACTGCCGAGGCGCAACTCTTTCGTAGTCGCCCTTCCGTGCGGGTGCTTGCCGTCGCGGATCCGCTTGATCTGCGAAGCAATTTGGGCCGAAGCAGGTCTGCCCTTGCAAACATCGAGCAACACTTCATTCGGCCGGAAATCCGTGCAGTATCCGCCGCAGCGGTAACAAAAGGTTACGACCTCTCCTCGCCTGCGAGGGTCGTCAACATCACAACTCAGGAGACCGTGGCCGCGCAGGTAAAAGGCGCTGGCGGCCAAGCCTTCCCAATCGTCGAAGTGCTTCACCCCCGCCCTGGACGACGACCAATCCGACGAGGACAGCTCCCCCCTCTCATCCACGCCAGCGCTGTCTGCCACTGGCGGGGCCTCGAAAGAGTCAGGAACTGACTCGTGCGAGGCAGCATCCAAGCCAACCGTGTCGTGGCGCGTTTCACCCACAGACTGAAGGTGCACCTCGAGGGACCCGCTCCAGCGGGCCGCCTCACAAGCAAGAGCCTTGAAACCGCTATACAAATCCACGTCCGACTCGGAGAGGCTATGCTTAGCAGCGCCCATTTTCGCATACTGATCCACCGAGTCGTTGGCTCTCTTCTCCCAGATGGTGGTCTTGCCCTCACGCACGTCGTTCATTGACGCGTGCGCGAGGGTTTTGACAGCAACCACATCCGAGGCCCCAAAGCTAGACCAAAACGGACTCCACATGTGGGCGCGCGGGTCGCCCGCCGAAGTGCCAGCCTGAGGGCCCGCCCAAAGCACTCGAAGCGTCCCCTCGGGCCGTGGGAGAAAGGGACAGGGCCATAGCAGGCAAGCAACACGCTCCCGTTCGCATCGAGCCCACCCAGCCCGAGAGACGCCGGCCACAGTTGGCCAAAGAGCCGATCCATCGGAAAAAATCCTTCCCGTCAGAAGGCCCGACGCTGGGCGATTCACCCAAAAGACCGTCTGGTCGGGAAGCTCCGTAGGAAGAAAAGCCATGGGGGACGGGAAAATCCCACGGGCAAATCTCTCAGCAAACTCCTCCCCCTCCTCCTTAACGCGAGCGGCCCGACGGCTAAGCCAGGGCGAGACTCCATCTCTTCTCAGCGTCGCGTTGCCATCGCACTCGAAGTGCCTGTGCCAGAGCGCGCCTCGAGCTCGCTGGCAGATTCGGCAATCCGCACGTCCATGCATCCCGTGACTGTGCACGCGCGCCTGCGGCCAATGCACATTACACATAAGACTTCGCAAACATCGCTGGTGTTTGGAGCCCCAGGCGGAAGAGGAGGAGGAGGAGGCTCGAAGGAGGGGCTTGAGGGCGTCCAAAAAAAGCGGATACGCAGGCAAATGATCCGCGTCATGCCTGCCTAACCCACCATGGCTTCCTAATGCTTGCCGGTCAGAAGCCCTAATCGCCCCAGCTCGGACCTGAAGCCGGAACTCAGCGGGCGAAAGCCGCGAGAGGTTCCACACCTCCCCCAAGTCCGAGCACGCATGATTGAAATCCTGGACCTCCCAGCCTATTCCACGTAAGCTGAGGACCAAAGCGTCCGCTGGCGTGCTAGCTCCCTGCCACGGGTGTTTCTTTGCAGCTGCTCTCTCCAGCGCCGTGCAAACAGTTGAACTTAGAATCGGCACACATTGGAAGCTGTCCCAAACTGCTGTGGCCCACTGGAAAGCGACGTGGCCCGCATAGGCCACCAGAGGGTCAACGAGTTCCCCCAATCGGAAACTGTGCAAACGGACTCCCAAAGAAGCACCTTTGGGATGTCTACTGATGCTGTGGGCCGCCGACAGCCCAAGACCGTGCATCGCTGCCGGCGAGATGCCAACTACGCTGCTGCCCCATAGCGCCGAAGCCGCGGCCCCCATCCGCTGCACCCGAGCTACATCTGCCCCGGCCTCCCTCAGAAGCTTAAGACGACGCGAACGAGATCCCGCATCGACAAATCTGGCCCTGCTAATGCCAGTTCGACGAACTCCACCTCCCGTTGCGTCCGTCCCCAGATTCCGCGCGTGAGTTGCACGGGACGAGACCGACAGGTCCCACTTCCCTCGCAGGTGCTGGTCGACCACCTTGGAACACATGTATTTTGTTTTCGTGAGGTTCACTGGCAAGCTGAGCTCCCTGAAGCTCCCGAGCAACTGGCCGACAGCCCCGCTGAGCACTGACGCGACCTGCAGCGGCCGACCACGCGCCTGAAGCGCAATATCGCCAACAACATTACGAATAAACAAGTTCGGCCGCCCCTGCTGCGCCAAGAGGAGCGGCCTCAGCAGCAGCAGCTTTGCCAAAGACGTCGCCCCCGAACATCCTGCCACCACGGATGCGTTCGCTAGGAAACTGGAGGTCACCGCTCCGCCATAAATCATGGCACGAAAACCTGAATAAATCGTGCAGTAGCCCCTCAGAATCTTAATCCGGAAACCGAACTGAATTCCAGCGGCTCTGAGATCTACATGCCGGATGTGTTCATAGAACCGGCTCAGGTCCACAAGAACCGTTCCTGCCTCGAAACCCACGTCCCTGCAGAAACCTCCCAACAAGTTATGGGCCCAGTCGGCCCGTTCGCATGTGTTGTGCGGGCCTGTGCCCCAGAAAAAATCGTGCACGCGCAACCTTGTCCCAATGCTGGCAATATCACTGGCGGAGCTTGCTCCATCCACAACTTCAGCACGAGTCCAAGTAGTCCTATAGGGCGGACTCCACCGCCATCGGGCTGGTCTATGCATATCATGTTAACCAGACACATTAACAATACTTCTGGCCGATCCT